CACCTGCTGCAGCTCAGCTCTTACTTAAACAATAAAAACTGTTTCAAGCCATTAGTAGGTGTCTGTAATGAGACCATGAAAGCCAACATCCCTGCCTCATTTGCTAAGATGCGATGACTTTAAATTAAGGCCTTGCCTTGGTGACCCCTTAGCTGGAGTTTCATATTTCCACTACCGTGTGCAACACAGCACTAGCAGGCTTGAGATTTTTTGCCCCAGAGTTCACTGCATTTCAGAAGTGAAGCAGCATTATGCGAAAAACATTTTAAAGTATTTCTCAAGCCCTCCCAACACGTTATATTAATGTAAGAGATTAGGGGGATTTATTGTAGTAGTACCTAGAACGGATGGCACTCAGCATTTTAAAAATATCAAGCACACATGTGCCAACAGGCTTTTAACTCTTAACACCACTGCCAGAAGTACTAAAAAAAGACAAAGTGTTTGGTAGCTGCCAGTGGTTTTGCTGCTAGTTATGGAAACCAGAACAAGCTGAATAAACAGTGACATCAATGGCTCAGAATTAGAATACTTTAGGGCATCTAAAACCAACTACACCTCTTTGAGTCTTTCTGTGGAAGTCACTGGTGGAGCCTCCCTGAGCTGCACTTCAGATTAGTCCCTTGAAGCCCCACCAGGTAACAGAAGGCCATATAGATTGGGTTGGCATAGAGGAGCATTCAATAGCTGAGATATGACCTCAATGAAATGGAAATGGCTTTGTGAGATTGCCTGACCAAACCAGATTGCAGCTACTGGCAGTGCTCTGTTAATGGTTGGGCTCAATGGTCTTAAAGGTCTTTTCCAACCTAAACCAATTTATGATTCTACCCAAGTTATAAAGGTATTACAGTGTGAAACAACCTAAGTATTACACTCATTTGTCACCATTTCAAAAGTGAAACAGTTGTCCTGTTTTTCCGCTCACTGTCTGTTCTGGCTCCCAGCACTTTCCATCTGCAGTTACCAGACACAAAACAGGTATTCACAGCAGTCTCTCACACTGAACTTTACCTCCGCTTTGGAGGTGGCATAATGTCCCTGCTGTGGCTGGGAAGAAAGAGGGGCTTCTATTAGAAAAAGCACATAGATGTTCCTGGTAAGCAAGCTTCATCAGTCCTACATATCTACCACCTCAATTTTAAGACCCTTAGAGAGGAAATTAGAGAGAGAAAGTACCAAAAAGAAAATGAGATCTTAGTGAGCCATTTTATAACTGGCACAAGACTCGCTTGGCACACAAGGCACCACAAGACATTCCTGCCCAGAGGAGATTTCACCAAAACTACCAGGTTCCTCTCACTTTAGCCTCCCATGAAAATTGTGCTACATTGCCACCAGGCAGAGAGCTGCCTCCTTACAAACAACTGCTCGTTCACATCCAGAAAAGGCAGATGTGAGACCCCATCCAGATTATTCATGCTGTGTTTTCATTCTTTCTCTATTTGTCTGCATTCACCCTTCCAAAGCAACTCATGTTGCTGCTTCCTTGCTGCCTTGACCCTGTTTCTCTGCAACTGCTTCTGCTAGAAAACATGTTGGGAGCTTCTCAGATCAGATATGGCACAGAGAAAGCCTTCTGCCTCCAAAGTATTAAGTACAAGGCAAGTTCAGTCATCTGGAGAGTACAGATAAGCCTATGAATTCATTTCATAGAAGGCTATTTTTCCCTTTGACTCAAGAAGGGACCAAAACATCTTTGAAGACATGGGAATAAACACTTCAATGGAAGAGCTAAAACTGCATTGGCAGTTAATGGCCAACCCTATCTTTTTGACTGTTTAGCACCTTTCAATTCCTTCCAGGATATGAAGGCAGGAGCCAAATGTCTTGAGAGGGAGAATACCACAAAACCTCAAATTAACACTGAAGACAGGTTTAACAAATTAGCAAGTGAGGGAAGATGCCAATAACTGGCTAAGACATTTCCTGTTTCATGGCAAGGAACTACAGCAAGGTCAAAACAGCTAACAGCTAGGAAGGATTCTGAGTTTGCCTTGGCAAGCAGATGCTTTGCAGAATGGCACTGATGAGGATCCCATGGTGTTGATAGACTGAAGCGGCTCATCGTCAAATCCCTGGCATTTGCTTGCTCTTGGGAATCTCCTGCTCTTTGCTCAAGAGAATGTGGAAGAAAAAAAAGGTCTCTTCCCAGTATTTCTGATCTGAACATTGGATCAACCCCACAACAGTCAGCAAACCAGTACCATGAAGTCTTCCAAATACACCTGCCTAGAGCAGAGATCTGTATATTCCAAGTGTGGTTCCTGGAGATCTTTAGGGCTGAGAATGCACAGTGGTATTAACATCCTATGCTTAAAACAATCCCATGTCCATCATTTTCAGGGGCCTACAAAACCCCTCAGCATGTAACATTGCTAAAATTAATGTTGTAAATAAAAGAGGAGAAAGCACTGAAATGACAGACTTAGAATGGTAATAAATGAACATTTCTGACTAACAAGGTAATGAAGGCTTCACTAGGATTAGGAAAAGAAAAAGATAGACCAAAGTCTCTTTCAACTTCGCTACTTTTAAGGATATTAAAAATACAAAAATTAATAAATTAACAAATCTAACACATGAAGAGCACACCAGAATTTAGGTTCAAGTGAATTGGAAACAAGTCAGAGCAGCTGGAAATTCCCAGAGCTGTGTTCAAGCTGTGCCTGCCTGATTAACAGGACATTCTCAGATACCATGGCATACTACATTATATACTGCAGTATAAGCAGCCATATCAGATTCTGGCCAAAGGTTAGTATCTGAGCAGGAAATCTTCATTAAAAGTAAAGTTTGATCTGTAAAACTGTAAATAAGCAAAAAAAAAATAATTTTCCAGCAAAGAAATACCAGTCTTCTGAAACTACTGGAATAACTCAAAAGAGAGAATGATTACTCCCAAACGTAGTATCTGTGTGCAGCCATACAAGCTAAATGTCAGCATTAAATATTTCAATGTGGTACACTTCAAAAAAACAAGGCTATAAAAGAATGGTGGATTTTGTGTAGAAAACATTCATGGAGAGCAGAGAGATAGGGAATTAAGTGAAGACACATGTAAAAACAAAAGGTACAGCTGGAAGGAAAAATGAGAAAAGAGAGACTACAGCAGCCAAAAGGCAAGTTTGATCCCCCCTTCCCACATTATGTGCTGAACAGCTAACACAATGAAAACAGCAAACTCTTATCCCACAAAAGCCATATCCTGGGCTTGATCTGGGCCATATACCATTACCTCTCACATACTACCATGTGGGATGGTTACTGACAGAAAGGAAACCACAGACCAACACACAGACCCGAGCTCACTGGCATAATTGAAAGTGGAGGCAAGAAGTCTCCATCCCTCTCCTCCTTGTGCACTAAATTGCAGAGCATTGATTAAACACCCTCACTGAGACCACACAGTCCCTCACCACAGTGACATCTCCCTTATTTCTCTGCAGTTCAGCAGTGCCTATTATTGCTTTGCTTTGTTTGATGTTCTCCCTATGTTGAGAGAAAGCATGAAGGGAAAAAAGAAAAAAGAGAAATCTGTCTGTCTTTCAACTTCCTAATAATTTTCCTCAAAATGCTCCACGCACCAGCACTGATTTCATTATCTGCCTGCTGCTAGAGTTTTTATTTAAAGAATAACACACAAGGAAGAAAGGATTTAACCTGACCTCCCTGAACTGCTGGGGGATGAATACAACACAGAGCTGACAGTGAAAAGCTCATTTCCTTTCTGAGACTAACTCAAAGACTATGCAAAATTCCCCTCTATCCAAGCCTCCAGTTTTAAATTGGGCTATCAAAGGCTTTTCTTTTTTTAGGGGCCTGGGTTGATGCAATCAGTGTATCATCAATGAATGAGGATTGATAGCACGAACTATCACAAAGCATAGCTGTGGATACAGGGACTCTCAGAGGCAGAATAATAAGGAAAATTGAGTGAATTAAAACCAGTGTTCTTTTATCCAGCTATACCAAAAGAATAAAAAGTAGTAGGGTCCATGATTTCTTCTCCCACTACATCAGTACAACACTCAACCTGAGACTTTGGGGTGTTACATAGTACAGATCAAGTAGGTTAATAAATGCAAAGGTTAGTGGGAAGCATAGAGGGTATAATAAAAAATAGTAAAAATATCATGGATGGAAAGAGAAATGAATTGCAGAGCAATATATAGTCAGGACCCTTTAACAAGCACAAGTATGGGATGGGATCCCATCCAGTGGAAGGAGCAATCCAAGGCATTGACACAGCTGTGTCTGGGATGATTCCCTCAGCTCACATGGCAGCTCTGCATTTTGTCCACTCATGCTCCTGCAGAGTCATTTACCTCTCCAAGAGTCATTAATGTATAATCCCAAAATTTTATTTTGGGAAATAGGCCATCTCTTCCCTTCCTGAGACCACACACAGCAGCCTATTTTCTAGAAGCTACATTTACACTTTTATACAATACAAGCAGGACACGAAGACAGCAAGCCAGGCCAAATTGAGGAAGGGAAACCCAACCCTATCACCCCCTTTATTAAAAACATTTTCTTTTCAAAAGCTAAACCAACTGAATTCAATTACCCTGAAAAATTTCTACCAGCTGTTGCCAATTCTAGTTCTCCAGTATTACCAAAAATAAAATAAACAAATTCAAGCTATGCCCAACAGTTCTCCTATAACTAAATTTGCTGCCAAAAACTTTCTGTCCTATTCTACACACCAGCATCCTTACAGTCTCCAACCACACCAGCTGTCTGTCCTGCATATTTTCATTGTTTGTATCCATCCTTCTGCATTTGCAGGACCAAAATCTCTGCATGTGGTGGTAAAATTGGCTAAAGCAAGCCTTGATTTTCTTCCTCTTGCCCACACCTGAACAAGGAACATGGGAGTCCTGCTTCCACCCCTCATACTGCTGTTACATCAGCAGTCCCAGTTAGCACGAGGTACTCCTAAACAACTATATACTGGAGGCCAACATGAAAAAAGGTCATTGCACAGTCAGGCTTACCTGATCCTCAGAGAGCTGTGATATGTGATTCACTGCAGCATAAGACTCTATCTTCGGATTGAAGTGATTGATGATGGCTCTGAAACAAAGGAGGGAAATTTTCAGAGGTCTCAGGAACAGCTTAGGGATGCAGCAGAAATTCCCTGCCAGTCTGAGTAGGTGCATGTGGAGCCACAGTCCTGAAAGTAGTTCCTCACTCACCACGCGGTACAGCTTGCTCTGCCCAAGGCACACTCCTCCTGAGGCCAATGCAGGTTCAACCACAGGCTCACTGGAAACTGCAGGCACAGGCACTGCCCTACACATGGGTGCATTGGTCCCAGCAGATACTGGGCTGTGCTTGCTGCTCTGGCAGAGGGAATAGCTGCCTTCCTGGGAACAGGATGCAAATAGTTCCGTGTTCCATTAGACACACAGCAAACCTAGCTATCACTGCCCCATCTTGCCTCAAGAACTGCAGCTCCTTATCCCTTCCAAAATCAGTATCACCCAACACTTTGCTATGTAGAACTTTGTTGCCTGATATGATGAAGCTGAAGGTCTATTGTTTCAGATTCTCACTATGTTTAAAATGTAGCTGGCTCCTACACTACAGCCACTACACTCTGACTCACTCCTTACGACAATGACTTCAGTCCTCAGTCCCAGTTTAGATCACTGGAGATAACTTATGTCAGTGTCCCAAACACAACAGCAGAAACACTGGTCACTCCTGCTTCTCTGCCACACTTCGCTCACTACCTGCACCAACATATTCCCATTTCCTTCTAGGAAGATCTAGAGGCAGATGTGAGAACTCTAAAATTGAAAATAAAATCATAATTGGGAAAAAAAACCCCATCAAACTGCAGCTGGAATATTTCCTCAGCCTCCCCTCTCCTTATCAGATGCAGCTGAGAAGACAAATGGCAAGACAGTAAAGACTCCCTGGGAAAGAGGTTGCAACTGGTCTAGCTGGGATATTACTCATGAGACCCACTGCTGAGGTAAATGCCCATCATGGGAACAGGTCCTGTCAGTGCTCAGCGCAGATGCATGCTGACTGTGCCTGGGGAACACTTGCTCAGCCAGATTACACCGCAGCAGCAGTCAGGGCTTCCACACTCATATTCATCAGCATGAAAATTCACTCCAGCTCTCTCTATTGTACTCTAATGGGTTCCCTCCTCCCTATACCTATGCAGAAGGGCTCTCAGCTGCTTTCTCTAGACCTCATCACAGCTAAGAGCTTATGCCCTGGTCTAGGAATAAGTGATATTTGGTGGTGTTAATCAGAGACAGTGGATAGAAAACCTGCCTAGAATCATCCTTACTTCTTTAAATACACAGATAAAGAAAACAATGTGGAAGCAGTGGGAGAAAATAAAAACAAAACAAACAACCCCCACCCAAACAGAATCTGCAGATCGTAGACTCACAGAAAGCTTTGAGTTGTAGGAGGGCATTTAAAGGCCATCTAGTCCAACCCTCCTACAATGAGCAGAGGCATCTTCAACAAGATCAGGTTGCTCACAGCCCCATTCAACCTGACCTTGAATGTCTCCAGGGATAGGGCACCCACCACCTCTCTGATTCCAACACGTTCCAATGCCTCACCACCTTCATTGCCTAAAACTCCTTCTTCATATATAATCTAAATCAACCCTCTAAGTTTAAAACCATTATCCCTTGTCCTGTTGCAAAAGACTGCTCAAGAGTTTTTCCTCTTCTTTCTGAGAAGCCCCCTTGAAGTACTGAAAGGCTGCAATAAGGCCCCCCCAGAGCCTTCCCTTCTCCAGCTGAACGACCCCAGCTCTCTCAGCCTGTCTTGATAGGAGAAGTGTTCATCCCTCAGATCACTTTTGTGGCCTCTTCTGCACTTGCTCCAACAGGCCCATGTCTTTTCCGCGCTGGGGACCCCAGAGCTGGATGCAGTACTCCAGGTGAGATCTCACGAGAGCAGAGCAGAGGGGCAGAATCACCTCCCTCAACCTGCTGCCCAGGCTAGATTCACTGCAACATTCCCAGCCACACACCGTATCACTTAGCAGATGCAGACCATGCACAGGGCTGGTCGCTCCAGCAGCTGCTCCCACAGCATCACTACACACTTAGCACAAGAGGGCTTCTGCAGCCTCACCAGCCTTGAGCTACATCCATAAAACATTCAGCCAGGCCCCTACCAGGCTTCCTATAACCCTAATCCCTCTGGAGAAGGGCCAACAGGCAGGTAGAGACATGCCCAGGCTCTTCCCATTTCAATCCAACCAGAGAAGCAGCTCCTGTGAGTCACAATCACACTCTCCATTACCCAGCCTCTCCAGCACTGTGGCTTTCAAGCTGCATGTTTCATGCCTGGCTGGAGTCGTATTTATACTCCTACAGGACACACTACAAGTTATTGAAAGAACAGGGAACACAGACTTACAACAACTTAACTTCTGGCTTGACAGAAGGTTTGGCAGCTCAGAGGGGTTCAGTGCACTCACATGGTTCCAACATTTACCAGGGAACAGATTTAGCGTTCATTTGTACCCACTGCTATGAAGCATTTCAACATGGGCCGCCTGCTCACAAGTCCCTTGGATCTGAGCTAGTGGAGCGGCACCTGCAATCACAGCTGGGATTCACCCAGCAAAAGCAAAGCCAGCAGCCAGCTGCCACTGCAGAAAGAGTCAACAGACATTAAGGAAGGGAAAGAATTCAAGCCTCCCTCCTCATTTCCCTAAAGGTGAATGCACAACTCCCTAGTGACTAGAGGAAGTTCAGCTGTTTGATTTATTTTAACTATGAAGAATTCCTTCCCAACTTGATCTTCTGCAGAGCTGTTTTCCTGAACCTGCAGGCAGTCTGGGGCAGAGAAGCATCAAGAGCTGGGACTCAATCCTGGCTCTGTGTAGCCAGGCTCCTACTGCCCAGCACACCCACCAAGGCCAGGCTGCACACATGATACAGCTCCTCCTCACACAGCTGCTACAAGAAATTCCATCACTACCCAGCCCAAGCTGCTGTGCATCAGCATTTCTGCATCAGCCACTCTGATACACCTCTGTTATTCCTTCATCTCTCAAAATCTATCTTGTCCCTGGGGCATACTTTTAGGCAACTAGCTCCTGGGCTACTCACTGAGAAACATCAGGAATTTCACTTTGCAAAGCTGCCACTCCACTGGCATTTGATCCTGAAGAAATAGGGACTGGAGCTTTTAAGCACAGTCTCCCCCTTATGGACCAGTGACTTTGCCACTGTTAGTTCACACACCAGCTCGTAACAGCTGAGTCTTGACAATGCTTTATTTTTATACTGTGATTGCCTTGATTATTGCCGTATCAGCCAGTAGCTTTGGGGAGGGGGAAGGAAGCAGTTAAAGTGCTTAGAAAAGATTTGTGATGAGCTGTGCTCTACTGAGATCTTCATATTGATCACGGGGAAAAAAAACCCAACAAAAAACCCAAACTATTGTGTTTGGTATTCATGAAGCACAAACATCTTCAACACATTTGTAAAGCAAGGAAATGGCAAAGTGTCAACTGAAAAACAAAACGCTGCAGCTCCCCACCTAGCCTTCCACAGTGTGCACATTCACACGTTTCCACACAGCCAAGTCCCTCAGTGGGGCTGGCTGCTATTTGTCATACAAATTTCAGAGCACTTTTGGGACACAATTCTCCAGGGACTGAGAGATGTCTGGAGAGATGTCACTTCAGCAACACTGTCTCCTCTGACAGATCCACAGTTTAGCAGTTAACTGCCAAGAGGAGACTGTTGCAGGACAAAAGAAGGATGCTGAACAGGCAGAAGGTTCAGGAATTAAAAAACTGGCTCCCCGTGTCTTGTCTTGAGGTTAATGCTTAATGCTTAAAGGCAGACCACAAGCAATCTCCACATTCTTTATTCCTCAACCTCACAGTGTGAGAGCTTGATCTCCCAGTAAATACACACTAGCCATACCTGTGGTCTCTGAAAAACACACATCTCCCACCACTTCTTCATGCAACTCTTCAGAGAGCAAGCTACCTAGACACAATGACACCAGAAGCCATGTAGAGACATGTATGAATGAACCTGCATATTTCTCAGGATGAACAACCTCGGACACTTACATTTTATATATGTTTGCATTTATTACATATTTACTGCATTAATTTAATTCCTTGTGAAGGAGGGGAATAATTGCAGGAAAAAAGTGTTTCACACTGATTTAGGAACCTAAAAGTGCCAATAAATCATTTACTTTTACTAGCTGTATTAATCATGTAACTAGATAGTAGAAGTGGGTCCCACTCTAACAGGTATTGTACCAATCCAGACTGGTAGAAAGACTCTGATCCCCACAAATGCAAGAGAACAGGGAAAGCACAGAAAAGTACATAGGCAATAGAAAATATAACAGCGCTGCTACTTACTGAGTGCCATGAAAGACTTCAGTTAGAGATAAATCACAGATAGAAGAAAACACAGAAAAAGAATACTGAAGGAAGAAGTAGAGAGGTAGGCAAAAGGAGACAGAAGGGCAAATAGGACCAAGAAAAACAGGGGCAAAAAAATTGCAGGACAGAGAAGATCAGCGAAACAGCAACCAATCCCAGGGTAGTCTGTTCTCTGCAAACTGCAAAGCTCTGGCTGGTGGAAAGTTTCTACTTTGGCTGTTCTTTAGGCTGCAACAATTGGCCAGTCCTGATGTGACTATTACTAGCCCATTGTCCCTCAAAAACACCTATGCTGGAAGGTGAGAAGCAGAAGAATCTCCATGTGGGCCCTATTAGGTTTTTTATTCCCAAAATGGGGACATTCCACTGTGGCTCTCACCTAGAGCTATGGGGAAAGAACATATACCTCCAGGGGAGTTGCATCCACTGCCCCTCACTGTGTTCACTGCAACAGAGCTTGCTTTTGCAGTGGCTGCAGCAGCTCTCTAGACAGTAAGTAACATTTAAAAACTTGTTTTTCTAGTCTTTAAAAACTACATAGAGTTACTCCTTGATAAACAGAAACAACCCGTGGTGCCCTGGAGAGAGGCACAGAGTAAAGGAACTCCTGAAGACTCAGTGTGCTGACATGAAAGGGCTCCTGTGAAAATAGATGCATGCATGGAAAGAAAAGATTTAACTAATTCCTCAATTTAATTTGACACTAGTTGTAATATCAGAAGTGAAATGCACCAGCAACATGAAGGTACTGGTCCCTTAATTCCTAGCATCTTCCAGGCCACGTGTACTCACTGTGGCAGGGAACGCACCTTGCCCTCCTTCACCTCACAACAAGCTGGTCTGAGTCCAAAGTGCAGGGAAAGCAAAATCACTATGCTCAGGCAGGCAGCACTTCTT